AAAGGCCCTGCACAAATCTGTTTTGAGACTAGGCTACTTTTTAAAAGTGCACAATGATAACTTTTGACAACGTTTAATTCTGGTGCGAAAATAATTAATATCTATAGCGCATGAGCACAGAGAGATTTGTGAGTGCACAGGACACAGTATGAGTGAGAGGAGAGACTCGTTTTAAGTGCGCGCACTCTCTCCGGGCGAGAGCAGCATGTATCTGAGCGAGAGCAAAGGAAATCCGCGCGCGAGCGGAGAGATTCGCGCATTATATTAATGTGCTTTTGCCGCTACACTTATGCGCTCTCGACATTTGTCATTAAAATAACGCCATAATATCCCCTCCCTTTCTGTTAGGTAAAGAAAGCTGCAACAGTTGAGAGTGTTTTTGGTTAAGTGCATCATGCAAAGTACACTTTCTCTTTTTGGAATTTTCACTGTGAATACACTGCTCAACACAGTGCAAAATGGCATAGAATAGCGCATAAGTGCGTGATTTGGGATGCATTTTCTGATTTAGTCTCATCAAACCATTGCACAGCATCACTATGGTGAAGCAGGCACATTATGTGGGCTGATCACAGGAGCCCCAAGGGAGCGTGGGGGTATGTGTCTGACTAGGCCTGTGTGTTCATGCCCTGAACCTTGTAGAGAGTCACTGTTAATTTCCAGTCCGCAAACCATTGCACAGCATCACTATGGTGAAGCAGGCACATTATGTGGGCTGATCACAGGAGCCCCAAGGGAGCGTGGGGGTATGTGTCTGACTGTAGGCCTGTGTGTTCATGCCCTGAACCTTGTAGAGAGTCACTGTTAATTTCCAGTCCAACCTTGTTTGTACAGTGAGATCATAGATCTTGTTGTCATAACGCAGTCTAGTCTAAAGTCATTTCAGCTATCCTCCTTGGCTGTGGTCTTATTTAGAAAATTCAGCAAGGTTAAATTTCCTGTTTGGCCCCTGAGGAAGAGTCTGATTCATTTTATTTGAAAATAGAGAGGGTGAAACTGAGAACCCTGATGTTTTTGTTAATATTAAAATCAAAGTAAACCATGGGTGATGGATAAAAAAGCAGAGCAGAGAATAACAGTTTAAGCATTGTTAGCTCAGAAGCACATGCATTTCAGACTCCTTGAAGTTGAAAAATAGGCATTATATAGGTGCTCAAATCCTGTTGCTTTGAAGTTTAGCCCAATGAGCATTTAGATTTTATTTTATTATTTTAATATTCAGGGAGATAAGTTGCTGGAAATTTTTATAGGTTGATTAATTAATGGAAGCTGTTTTAAAAGGAGCCATTTAGCAGCTTGCTGACTTGGCTTTGCACCTTTGACCTAAATAATCAGGCATCCGTGAATGCAGATTTTGGATGTCAAATTTGAGCTCACTGAAACATGCTCTGTTTTTTTTAAACACCACTATCACATGCTTGAATCCATTCAGAGTGTGTGCTTGCTGGCTGAACGCTGATGATGATCCTGCTCTAAATAAGTGACTTTTCAGCCCCGTTTCGTCCTTTGCAGCGCTCTCTGACTAATGTTTCTCGGCACATGTTTATGACATCATGCTGTGATGGTTGGGAAATTAGCCTAGAGCATGAGAAACTGCTGCTTGTTGTCCTCTGACTGCAGTTAAATCAAGATGAATTTAAACTTTGTTCATCTCAGGACATTGATCCCAAACACCCACACTCATTATTGGAAGCTTTTAAAGGGGTCATATGATTTTGCTAAAAAGAACATTATTTTGTGTATTTGTTGTAATGAAATGTGTTTATGCGGTTTAAGGTTAAAAAAACACATTATTTTCCACATACTGTACATTATTGTTTCTCCACTATGCCCCGCCTTTCTGGAACATTTGGGCGGCGTTATGCAAATTTTCCCAGATCGTGACGTAGGTATGTGGGGGTGTGTTAGAACGAGCCGTTTTAGGTAGGCGTGGTTGACTCTTAACTTTTTATAAGGAATATCTCTTTGGATTTGAGACTTTAATCTTTGCAACTTTACAGATCTTCTTTATGCACCAAGAGCTTGCAACACTCCAAAGAGAAAGGAAAAATTGAAATCGCATCATATGACCCCTTTAATGGAACACAGCTGCTATGCAAATAGAAGATTTACTTTTACTGCAATTAAACACCACTTAAATTCACCGAGAGCTGGAGTGACTGCTGGAGCGCTTTACAGAGATGGGGGTTTTAATGGTCTATGCTCAAAAATTGGCTGAAAATTGAAGACAAAAGTTGTTTATTTTCCTTTTACGAGTATGTTGACAGATTGTGGAACAGTGATTGCCTGGTGAATATAATCATGTTAGTCAATCTCTCAAAAACATGTCCAGGTCACATTTCACTTCACATTTACAAAGAAATTAATGAAAAATTGCATTTTGCATGAAGCAAATAAGACTTTAAAGGAGACATATTATGCCCCTTTTTACAATATGTAATATAAGTCTCTGGTGTCCCCAGAATGTGTCTGTGAAGCTTTAGCTCAAAATACTCCACAGATCGTTCATTATATCATTTTGAAAATGCCTATTTGAGTGGAAGCAGAAACACGCTGTTTTTTTGGGCCTGTCTCTTTAAATGCAAATGAGCTGCTGCTCCCCGCCCCCTTTTCCAGAATAGAGCTACGCCATTACAGCTCGTACCTGCTAAAAAAACCCATATGAGTTTAAACTTATGATACAAGGTTTTCTGAGAGCACACACCCGAAGCACACGGACAGAAAGCGGCCACCACACAGCATGTGAGTACTAAACTAAGTTCTCATTCACACACAGGTTTACGTAAAAAAACGTCGGTTATGTCTGTGAAGGTAAACAGCTGGGAAATAAATCTCATAGCACTTAAAACCTGGAAAAGTCAGATTTTCATGATATGTCACCTTTAAGATATACAAGGGTAGTTCACCATAAAATGAAAGTTTGGTCATAATTTTCTTACCCACATTTAACTCTGTATGACTTACTTTCTTCCTTGGAACATAAAAAGAAATTTTGAGAAATGTCTGAGGTTTTGTCCATACAATGGAAGTCAGTGGTCACAAAAACTTCATACAGGTTTGGAATGACATTTTCTACCAGAAATACTGTAATACATATATTTCATTTATGATAAAGAGAGTATAAACTGAAAGGGAAAAGTTACCCCAACATATTCTTGACAAGAGATTCACATGTGGTATGTGAGAAAACACAGAGCTAATCAGGAAGTGCCTTTTTTGATCTGATAAAGGCTAGTATTAGTTTATTTGTTTGTGTTTGAGAAATATGAGCCAGATGCAGTCCTTCATGCATAAACTGTGCATTCATAATATCCCCCCAAATCTGCTGTTGGCCTTTGACAGAAGCTGATGTATTTGGGTATGTGTGCCCCTAGAAACCATCATAAACACTTGTCATGTTGTCAGGACTTTCAGGATTTTCCTTGTTTTCTGTTTTTTTGTCTCCTCTGTCACATCTCTCTCTCTCCCATTCAGCAGTCTTTCTTCACCATTGTCCTCTTATGTTCTTCCTCCTCCCATTCTCACTGTCTGAGCCGTGCCCACTCGTGTTACGTAACCTTTTCCTCTCTCACTTTCTCAGATGTTCTCTTTCTTTTCGTCTTGCATTCCTCCACCCCTTTTCACCATCTTTCCCCCATAATTCCTCTGCATTTCTCTGCCAAGCCTAACCACCTCACATACTTCTCTATTTATCCTCTCTCCCTTTCTCTCCATCCATCTGTTCCATTCTTGCTTTCGTCCTTGCTCGTGCTTGTGCGTCATGACTCAAGAATTACAGCTGTGCTTTCAACCCCCATAGAAAACATGCATCATATTTGTGTGGATTCTTTCTGATTCATGTATTTCCCCCTTGTTCTACAAACATACATTTACAGCTAGGTCTGTATTTGGGAAAAAAAATCTCCAAATACAGAAAGAAAAAAAAATACAAATACAAAAATCAGTCAAACAGTGTTTTTTTTATTTAAAGTAGTAATAAAAATAATATTATAATTAAAATGCGATAATAATAATAATTATAATTATTATTACTAAAATAAAAATGTGACCCTGGACCACAAAACCAGTCATAAGGGTCATTTTTTTAATTGAGTACAATTAAGTAATTGAATACAAAATATCTTCATGGAACATGATCTTTACTTAATATCCTAATGATTTTTGGCATAAAAGAAAAATCAATAATTTTGACCCATACAATGTATTTTTGGCTATTGCTACAAATATACCCCAGCGACTTAAGACTGCTTTTGTGTTCCAGGGTCACAAATGACTAAAAACAAAAGAATTATCACTATTGTAACATTTAACTGTAAAATTAAAAAATATACAACTGTAAAATTACATTTACTAATAATTTACTAATATTACAATCACTCATATTCATAGCCTAATTTCTTTTTTAAATTTTAAGCATGCATAATTTTAATGCAAAGACCGAGCCACACTGAGACGCTGCAAACACTGGCGGATAATGAGCTGCTCATGTACACATGAACACAGTGCTGCGCTTCGCTGTGAAACATGCATTGCACTAAGCCATATCATGATATCAGTTATAATTTGATTAATCACACAGCCCTACTTGCAGCTCTGTTCCAGAATTTAGTTATTTGCTAATGCTAATATTGGAATCACTTGCAAGACGAGCATCCTATGAAGAGTGTAGTTTGTTCAAGTCTTATTTCAGTTAGCATGCTGCCTTGAAAGGCAACTGCTTATGCAGGCAGCAGACAAGACCGCTTACTAGACACACTATCATATCGTAGTGAAGTTCATCCCTCCCTGTTATAATTGCTTTCATTTTCTCTTGAACCTAAAATACAGTGTAACTCTTAATCTATATGAGTGAAAAATAACAGGCAGGGCTCCATATAAAACAGTTTGCTAAGCCAGCGTGTCAGTCGGCTGGTATTTATCGGTGTTTTGGTTCATCCAGTCCCACCGTCTCACAGTCTGAAAGCCAAGAACAAAGGCAGCAGAGCATTTATGCTAAACGGCTCTGTCTTTGTACTCCCTCCATCAGCCCAATGTGATTTATGAAACACAATTACGAGATGATTCACTTCACAGCAGGCACAGTGAGGGAGGACGACTCCTTTGTTGTCGTTCTCCCCTTCGTCCAAAATCACACGTGCACGTATGGAAGAGTAGATGACAACAATTAAAGGGATAGTTCATCCAAAAATGTAAATTCTGTTATCATTTACACACCCTCAAACCTGTATGAATGTATTTTGTCTGTTGAACACAAAAGAAGATATTTTGAAGAATGCTGGTAAACAGTTGGCGGTAGCCATTGACTTTCATTGTATGAAGAAATACTATGAATACTATGAAAAATACTGGAATTCAGTGGCTACCGTCAACTGTTTGTTACCAGCGTTTGGAACAACTTGAGAGTTGTTTTCATTTTTGGGTGAATTATCCCTTTAAGCAATTGTTACATAAAGAATATAGTCGCTGATAAAGGGTCTGTCGATGGTCCCACTACACATGCGCTCCATTGACTTCCATTCATATGCATTCGCAAACACAAGCTCATACTAAGAAGTTTCGCATTTCGCTGCGTTCCGGAGTTAAAGTTTGAACTCTGACCTGTGAATTTGTATCATGTGAAGACATGTGAACAAAAGAAGAATGATGCATCACGTATCATTGTCGGTTTGCGGTGTATATTGTATGCAATTTATTATTTAATTGTTTAATTTATGTTTTCAAAAAGACGCCGGATAGCATGGCGTCATATCATAACCGGTGTTCTTGAAATTTTTGCAAGCTCGAAGTCTAGTGTGAATGCGGCTAAAATGGGCTGCAGTAAACCAGTATGAATAATTTGGTCACTTTATTTGGAGCAGGACTCAGTGGCACCCTCTGTAGGCTCTTGAAGTTAAACTACATGTAAGTGAGCAGCAGTTTTCTGTCGGGGATTTGTTGCGCCGCGCCGCTCACGTCCGTAGACACGGTGTAACATTGGTTTTGCTTTGTTTCACAGAACTAATCGTTGCCTGGGTTGCGTACGTATATGTGGGGCGGAGCTATCAAAATAGGGGCAAGACCCTTTTGGGGTAGGGGCGTGTTTGTTTTGGTGATTTCAAATATCAACATTGGCTACCAGAAATCCCTTACTTTGCCTTTAATCAACCTTTATCACAAAATAAATGTGACCATCTTGCTGTACCTTATCCCATTATCCCACTACTTGTTGAATAATTAACTAGGCCTAAATAAATGTTGATTTGAGTTCAAATGAATGCAATACCAGTCAGAACAGAGTATTCCAGTGAGCAGCGTAATAATATTGAATATCCCATGTGTGATGGAGGTTCATAGGGCTCAGTGGTGCACATGTAAATTTCCCCTCGTTTATCTTGTCACAGCGAGTTGCCGGGTTCCACGTGGGCAAATGTGAGTGGCTGCGTGTGAGGGCGGGCACAGTGTGTATTCTGAGGCTCGACGCTGTGGGAATGTGCTGAGAGGAACTTTGCCATGAGATGGTGGTGTGCTTTTATGTAGGGTGTACCGCTCACACTACAGGAGTGTGTTTATCATGAAGCCCTGATTAACCAGTATGAACAACCAGTTTCACGTTTGTAGTCACAACACCAGCCCATCACACAAAATTACACCTTGCGCTTGCAGTGTTATGAAACAAAATGATTCATATTCATGTTTTGGTCATATCGCCCACCCCTCGATATACTTTCCCTTTCCTGCCTTCTCTTGGTTGCAAAGGAAGTTAAAAAGGAAGTTTAAAATCAAGCTGACAAGTGTCATTTTGTGGGACTGTTACATTAAAACTACTGACTGTATTTAACTGTATTGATTCATAATGTGGAGTCTGTAAGTGACATGTAAAGATGAGTCTGTGTACTGAATGTTTAACAGTGCCGTCTATGTGTTAAACTCGTTATTTCAATCGAGATGACTGATTTCTTTTGTAATCTGGACCATCAGAGCTGGAAAAGTCAAGAGAGAAAAATCCTGAGGGTTTCCTGTTTGTTTTAAATCCAGTTTTTACTTGAAGTAAACAGAGCTAACCCTCGAATGGCTCTCCTAGTTAGCTAAACAACTAAATGTCTAACTTGTTTAAAACATGTTTAACTGGATTGTTCACTTTTCTCTCTCAGATGGAGAAGAGCAGAAGGGCGCTTTGCCAGGGAAAGAGCCACAATCATCAGTCACTGGACATGGCTGCAGGCTCAGATATCAGACCTGGAGTACCGCATCCGACAGCAGGTCGATATCTACCGCCAGCTCCGCGCCAGCAAGGTTAGCAGAGCCTTGATATCTACTGTGTTTGTGTTATAAGACAAAAACAGCATCCAGGTTCAGGACTGTTCGGAATCGGGAATTAGTTTATTGGAATTTGGCTGTATATAAAGTTTTTTTTTTTTGCATGCTCTCTGCAGGGTCTTGTGGAGCTGGGAGACTCCGTCCCTTCCTGCCAGAGAACCGAGACTAATGAGAATGTCCTAACCTCAGCAACATCCCATAATTTCACAGAATCCCAGTCTCGTTTGACAGACACATCTGAGAATGACATCTCCGTTAGGTTTGGACAAATTTTATATTGTGTCGGCGTAAATATTTGAATTTATTATAAATTGTTACCGTTTGCTAACATTAGAATAATTTGACCCAGCTTAAATTAAGTGTCTGTAACTTCTATTTACCCTATATATATGTTTTTGATGTAAGTACACAATAGCTGAATATAAAGTGGGGCCTAATAATGTTATATTAACATTACCAAACATTTATTAGTGAAGTATAAAATACAGTCAATCGGCCATTATTGCAAAATGAACTCAGACAGGGTGAATTCAGTGGGGTCTTGTATCAGCATAGATTCATATTATCCATTGGCTTGGCAAAAACTGGATTTTACATTGTTTCCACTTTTTCTTATTTCAGTAGCGTGACAGAAATGTCCGGCACATGCCCATCAAATCTGGACAGCAGCTGTACCTCCGCACGAACACGCCCACTGTTGACCTGCAGGAGACGACGTCTTATCCACCCGAACACTGTCCACAATCTCAACGGCAAGGTGTGTTTGTGTGAAGTTTATTAGTATGAATGTATCAATATTCCAGGAGTCCATTTTGCTGATTTTGAAGTGTATCTGAAGTGAGTGTCCTTCTTTTATCAGGTTCAGAGAGTGTCTTTTTCACCTCTATGTGTGTGTGAAGTCAACGGCTCATGTGTCATGTGTGGCGGTGCTCCTCCCCTCTCCAAACCAGACTTACCATTTGATCGCCCTCTGCTGGAGAGAGTCGCACATCAAGACTGCAGCATCCACCCCATTCTGTCCATGCAATCAGGTGAGATGCACATGCACAGTCAGATACAATTAGAGCTAACAACTATTTTCAGATTTTTCTGCAATTTTATATATATATATAAATAGTATAGTGATATCACTGATTTCACTAAAAATGGTTTTACTATATCAAGTGATTTAAAAAAAGTGTGTATATGCATGTTTTTTAAAATTTTTTATTAAAGATATTTTAGAATTTGATATATCTATATATAGGGCTGGGTGATAAAACGATAACGATAATTATCGAGATATCATTTTAAAACTCTAAACAGAGTAATTAAATTTCACCATATAAAAATTAGGTAGTTACAATACAGATGAACATAAATTTACATCTGCATCCTAACTCAAGCTACCACTACTGTCAACTCAAGCTACTGTCAAATGTGCATTTCTAAGAAACAAAAAAATGTAATATTGTTAATACTGCAGCCTGCACTCCAAACTGTGCATGAGTGCATACCTGTTTCATGATTTGAAACGACGGCAGAAACTAAGAAAGGTAAAGATATTTTAAGGAAAAATGACTAGAAAAGTGTGAATAATTCAAAAACTTGAAGTGTTTGTAATGTTCTGACCCTAAAGAGTAGTTTAAAACCACAATTAATGGTCTGGTTTCTACAACTCTGCAAAAATCTGCCTTTGAACTTGAAAGAATAAAGATGCTAAATTTATTATGATAATTATCGATATCAACTGAGTTTTGGCCATATTGCCCAGCCCTATATATATATATATATATATATATATATATATACATACAGTACAGTTATATATATATATATATATATATATATATATATACAGTACATTTATATATATATAATATATATATATTTATTTTTATATATATATATATTCACAGATTAAAAAAAACTAAAATCACAGATTATCAGTTTCCTAGATTTGTTAAATTGTAATGATTCTGTCTAAAAGATTTTCTCTTTTCCTCCTCTGGTTGGTCTCAGATGTGGCTCTCAGCTTACAATTGCAGAAGGTTTTGAGGTCTCATTGGCAGACTCGTCCGTTTGACCGGATCAAACCACTCAAGAAGATCTCTCTGAAACACAAGCTCTCCATCACACCATCATCATCATCCTCCTTCCTCTCCAAACACAAATTCAGACTATCAAACCCACATGCGGCTGCAGTCCGTAAGTAGTACACACGCATTGATACTCACAGCCACTGACTGTGACACAGTGACTGAAATCATTCATTTTTAATTATTTCTCTTTGTCAGGATTGGCCCGTCACAAGAGCAGGTCGGAGAGGCTGCACAGGCAGCGAGTGGACAACATCTCATGTGTCCCAAAACCGGACACACTCACACCCTGCCGGCCGGATCGTGTGCTGGACCGTAGTCACAGCAGGAAGAGGGTCAGAGAGCATTCACTGGACAGAGCAGACTGTGAGTGCACCGCTTTCCATACATACATGACCCTAAATATGTTTTAAACGGCCATTTCTAATTAATGCTTTTGGTTAATTACTGACAGCGGCATAAAATAAAACATGCAGCCATAAAATCTAATTTCAGTAGATTCAGGGTTGGAAATTAATGGGGCTTGGAGCAAAATGCCACCGAAATAAATTCAAGATATGTGGGCAAATAATGTCCCTGCACAATTAAACTAAAACAATTAAGACCGTTGCGGTTAAAGTGAAATGTGAAAATGAATAAAAAGTGTTGATTATGGCATTACATTTAGATCTGCAGACATTGCACCAATGATTTCTTTTTTTATGCATTGTTTTGTGCATTGTTGAGCATTATAACCAATCACAGATGTGTCTTTTGAGTGCATGAATGGACAATCAAATCATTATTTTTGTGTAATCTGTTAATTAACATTAGTAATCATTGTTACAGTATCAAGGGCAATAATCGACAATAATTATTTTTGTCATAATATTGCAGCCCTACCCTGTAATGAGTTCCTATTAATTTAATTAACCATTTAATTATGCAATCATAAAAATTGTTCTTACAAATGTAAAGAATCCCCCTGGAAATCAATTGCAGGGAGCAAATATTGTCTCTTAATGGAAAAGTTCATTTTGACCCTGGTACCGAACAGCTCAGTGAGACCAACACACCGTTAATGGCCATAGTTTTGAAATTAAATGGTCAGTAAGCACATATGGGTGTCTTATATATATTTTTCCCATTTTTTCCCCCTCTTCTCATATAGCACCAAAGGTGGTGATGGATGCAGGCAGTCCGTGTCCTTCTCTGTCCAGCCTTCACTCCTCCAACACCAGTCCCCTGACCAGACAGCTCTCCCTCCCCGTTGAGAGCAGCACTCCTCTGGGAAACAGCGTGGTATGTTCATTATTTTCTTTACAATAGGTTTGATCTCAGCCAAAAGCGCTCTGACATGTGGCACAGTTAAACTTTGAGCGACTTGAGTTTGTGGCTCTTCACAGTCCCGTCCTTTCCCACTTTGCTTGCTATCCACTCGCAGTATACTGTCTAATAATGGCAAAAATACACCAAAATAAATCTTAGCGCATAGTCCTTAAGTCTTAAATTTTTTATTTTTTTATCAAATTTAAGGTCATAAAACCTCTTAAATGGTACTTAATAAAAAGGGCATACATTTACGGACGGAAGAACAGGAATCATAATATGGTCTAATGTTGACTGTTAAACTTTATAAACACATTATTTTTCAAATACTGTACATTATTGTAGGTCCTCTATGCCCCGCCTCTCTCAAACGCTTTGTTTGCTACAAAGTCACTCCTTCCGACAAGAGCAGTCTGCTCTGATTGGCCAGCTGACCCAGTGCATTGTGATTGGCCGAACACCGCAAGCACTCGTCGGAAATGTAAAGCCCCTTACCATAATCGCGAGCTTCAGCTTTCAAAGTAAATATCAAGACAGTTAATAATGTCGTTAGTTTTACTATCAGTTCAAGCCCGAAAGGGCAACAGAGTCGCGTGACAGACACAGTGATGAAGCTGGTATGTGTTTGCAGTACACAAGCCACGGTTAAGACAGCTGACACCACTTCTGTTGTAAGTAATTTTAAAGATTCCTAAATGCATCTACTTTCGGAAGGCTAAATAAAGTGCTTTTGCTTTCGCCTAGAAACACACAGCGTCTCCCTGACATGGCTGCTTCAACACTAACTGCGGTTACTGAAACCACGCCTTCTTTCTTTGCGTGCACATTTGGGCGGCATTATGCAAATATTTCCACATAGTGAGGTAGATATGTGGGGGCGTGTTAGAATGAGCCGTTTAAGGAAAACTTGAAATCGCATCATATGACCCCTTTAAACAAATGTCAGCATTGTACATTCAAAGTCGGAATACGGTGCTGTCGCTTTTTGAACAGCTCATGTGTTCACTTTTCATTCATGACTTGTATTTTTCTTGTTTTATACAGCCCATACGGAGAAGAAGAGGCGAGAGTCCGTTTGATATCAACAACATCGTCATTCCAATGTCAGTGGCCGCCACCACCAGAGTGGAGAAACTTCAGTACAAGGAAATTCTCACACCGAGGTGTGTCTCCAAGTCTTAGTCCACCATTCATTCATTTCACTCTATAAAGCTGGCTGTATCATATTTGATATGCAAATGTACAAGTCCTACAATTTATTAACATGATCAAAACTCCATGATCAAAACCTGTTGTACACAATCTTCTCGACTGATTGATAGTTTAGACTTTTTTAGCAAGTAAAAGGCCTCTCAGTATAATTGTAAAATATCCCCTTTCAGGTGTCTTTTTGCTGTGAAATAATTTTTATGAAGTAAATGTATGAATAGCTTTTATATTAGTAATATTTCAAGATAAACACTTACTGGACTGAAGTAACTTGGGTTTACTTGACTATTCATACATATTATATATATTTTATTTTATTATTATTATTTTAGAAAAATCATCAAAGAGAAAATAAGGCATATAATGCATCAGGCCTGAGAGGAACGTTTATTTGTCCATCTCTCAATCATCATTGTATTGCATTGCGTTATATGGTTTGCCCCCACAATAAAAGCTACGGTTTTGATCATGAAACTATTAAGCATTAAATATCATCTTATGACGTATTATTGGGAGGTATAGAGTGGCAACTGATATTTATATCATTTTATGTAAGTAGTCTGTTATACTGTTGTAAAGATTTACATTATAAGCTATCAGAACTTTATAAGCTATTCTCACTATATCATACTATATGGACCATAAAATCCTGATGTATCAAATATGATACTAAGCGAAAAACACATGCCAACTGAGATTTTTTTTAGATTTTGATTAAAAATGTTCCATTTCAAATATATCTGCTCGTTACACTTATTTCTCTGTTGTTCAGATGGAGGGAAGTGGACATTTTAGCCAAACCACTGGCAGAGGAAGACACTAACATCCCGGTATAACAGCCTTCTATTTTTTTTTCTCCACTCATTTCATAATATGTATTCCAATTCATCCTCTTGTCGATCCTTATTAGTGATGTGCCCTAATGATTCATCCGTATAGGTGGAGGACCTATCAGATGCCACGTTCACTAAACTCCACCAGCCGTTAGAGGAGCAGGAGCGCTCTCGCTGGCGATGGACGGCTCTCGCACCCGGCAAGAGGAGAGGCAGCAGGTACCTACCCTATTTGATCTTACCAGACAAAATTTTTCCTGTTTTGTGAGGTTATAGTTAACCATGTCGTTCCTCAGGTCCTATAAATCCCTGGACGGGCGAACGACACCATCAATAGTGGGAACGAATCCTTCGACGCCTCAGCCCTCATCCCCGGACGCAAGTCACTTCCACATCCTGCAGGACTACGGGCCGGTGCCGTCACCCCTGAGCCCACCCAGCCCCGACACGCCCTGCTCCCGTGACGCACACACACCTCACACCAGAGACACACACAGACTGCTGTACAGTGAAGACACATGCGGTTCCACTTCAGACTGCACCTTTGAGGAGACGGTAACACGCGTGTTCTCCTGCCATTTTCATGATCATCATCCTACTCATTTTCTCCACAGAAAAAATATACTGTTTTATTTTACATTCTGCTTTCTAAAGAGCAGTCTAAAATCAATGCAAATGATTATATTGCAAGCGGTAGTATTTTGGGAAAAGTGTTTATCTTTGTTGAGTTCATCTCATCGCCACTGTTGCAGCTTATTCAATTAACTGAACATTTTTACCTTCAGCTAACATTTAATAGTGGGTATGAAAAATGAACTGTCAGCTTAATACAAAGTAAGAAATATTTAAATAATTCCATTTTTTTTTCTTTTACTTTTATGGCTTTACAGGACCAGTGTGAAAAACAATTGTAATTTTGCAATATTTTGAAACATTGTTTTTATAAAATTACATTTTTCTCACACAACATAAATAAGTCTTTATACATAAAAATACACTGCCATTTAGTTAAAAGTTTGGGGTCGGTTTTGAAAAGAGTCTCTTCAAAAATATAGTAAAAACTGTAATTTTATGAAATATGGTTACAATTTAAAATAACTTTTTTTTTAAATGTAATTTATTCCTGTGGTGCAAAGCTAAATTTTCAGCGCATCATTACTCGTCTTCAGTGTCACATGATCCTTCAGAAATCATTCTAATATGCTGATTTGCTGCTCAATTATTAGTTATTGTTGATGCTGAATTATTAATAAAAGTTATTATTGTCAATGTTAAAGACAGTTTGTGCTGATTAATATTTTGTGTTAACTGATCCTTTATTCAGGATTCTCAAAGTTCAAAAGAACAGCATTTATCTTGAAATTTCATTTTATTATAACAATGTTTTACTGTCACTTTTGATCAATTTAATTAAAAACATAAATTCTTACTGACCCTAAAACCGTTGAACAGTAGTATATTTTATGATATTTATATTTAAAATTAATTGCTTTTTTGTTGTTGTTGTTAGTTTGACTTCAAAACTTAACTCTTGTGTTTTGTTTTTTAAATGCCTATGGAGAAAATGAATGAGGAAGATATGTACAACATTTGATTTCTTTACTACAAATGCTATTCTTAATACCCTGTATGTTTTCCTGACAGATGGTCCAGCCCTGGGAACACAGGAGTTTTCCTTTGTCTGAGGACCCGATAGTGGAGCCCGAGATGGACAAGAATCAACTGAGCTTTCCTACAGGCCTCAGAGACAACGCCCACTGCAGGGCGGAGTCAGAGAGTGACGCTTCCTCGCCGTGATGATGAACTGATAAACTAACAGGAACGACCTTAAAACCACACCTCCTATGGCATTAATTGAGAAAAAAACTCATACTAATCAAAACAAACAAACAAAAAAATCTGTCAGGACTTCTGTTGTTTGATATTCAAACATCACCCAATTATTTTCACAGTTTTTAGTGAATATTACCGAACATAGAAAGCTAAACCTGTCTTCTAAAACTCTTTTCTCAGAAGAAAAATGTAAACGAGATGTATGAAAGTTGTTTAAAAAAAAGATTCTGTCGGGACTTCTGTTTGATATTCAAACATCAGCCAATTATTTTCACAGTTTTTAGTGAATATTACCGAACATAGAAAGCTAAACCTGTCTTCTAAAACTCTTTTCTCAGAAGAAAAATGTAAACGAGATGTATGAAAGTTTTTTCCAAATGTTTTCATAGTCAGCTAAATATATCATTGGGACTTAGTGTGGTATTCTAACCTGTCAGGTGAACACTATGTAGTGCACTGTGTAGCAGACTTAAGAGGGCTTGACCAAAGGTTGCCTCTCTGCTGACTTCTATATGTATGCTTGTGTTGTGAAGTGACAAACCAAAACCTGACAAAAGTACTTGTCCGCATTATTCTTGGTTGATGGTCACGTACCAAGCAGAGATCTTCTCCTCAGTTAAAAAGCACTTCACAGGGTGTCAATATCTTGCTCTCTTCCTTGACCCTCCCTTTTGCTGTTTCTTTTTAATTATTTCCCACCAGCATATGAATTATTGCTATGCTGATGTTCATGGCATCATGTATCACGTTACTGGAGAAATTGCAAGCTCTGCAAAACGAAGCCGTTAGTGCACATTAGTTTGGCTCTCACACTTCGGCCCTTACATGTTCCAGGCTTTTTCTACATCATCTGTTGAGATTGTACTTTGTATTCCTTCTTAAAGGAGCCAGATGTTTCACACAGACCTGCCCTTCTCAGGGTTATGCAGTTGTATGGAAACTTGTGTTAACAAGGCATCTGTTTTCCTTCACTTTGTCAGTGTGACCCCATATTAGTGTTCTTATTCCGCACTGTGAGAATCTACTTGCTATGCAACTCAACATTATTTTTGTGGCCCTGTCCTTTTCTTTTTCATACAATCACAATGTCTTTTTTATTTCTTTGATGTGACTTTCTCTTCATAGCTGTTTGAGACAGGTTTCATTGTGATTTAGACCGTTTCAGATGTTAAATCATTTGCAGAAAAAAAGAAAAAGAAAAACACCCTTTTGTAAATAGTACCATTAAAACAAATCAAACTCCATTCAGATTGTACGTCTCATCACTGTGTGCTGTAACACACATGAAACATTTTCCATAAAACAACAAACCATATTGCTTCTGTAATGTAATGTTTCTGACACCTCATCTACATTGGAAGCAAGTGTAAAAACTGATGCTACATCTTGGCTTGTGCTACTCCTGACAACAGGGTAAATGGGTTTTCAGTGGTCACTGATGCACCTGGTGCAGACATGTGAAAGAAATTGCATATTCAGCTATGAAGAAAATAGCAGGACTTGATTTTATCCATCAGGAGATAATTAGATCATGTAGAGGTTACATAGGAGTATGGAGCCATACCTGAATGCTTGCTAATTATTATGGAGGACCACAGGCGTATTCACACCAAGTACAATAACTATAAAGATTTGATTATTCTAATTCTATGAGAATAGCCAATACCACTATTCTCATAGAAGGAATGAAAAAACACTGATAGCCAATCAGAATCCACCAGACATTAAAGAGCTCAAGCATTTAAAGCGGCAGATGACAAAACGGCAGTGCGCTAATAAAATAAACAGAACGATATCTTGAGTTGGTGTGGACGCTAATATAATTATCATCATAGTTATCTTTATAGTTATCATTATTGGTATAAACGGCTTTAGGACTTACCACCTGAAACACTGCCAACACACTGTTGAGAAGACTTTCTGACTGATTGCCATTTAAATTCCTCTATTTGCTGACAATTACTCATTGACAAGATTTTAAGCTGTCAAGGCTGTTTTACCTGAAAAACGGGTTCTCTTTCAAACAGTAGCTTGGTATCTCACTATGGGGAACGCCTCAGGCGTGATAGACTATGGAAGCACCAATCACACCACGTTTGTCCGTAGGGCACACCAATCACAGCTCATGACCAGGAACCCACCCCTCACAATTTGAGTTGAATTACTGAAATAAATGAACTTTTCCACGACATTCTAATTTATTGAGATGCACCTGTATATATCGCTGTGATCCCTGAAATGGCATTCTTGATCTCTTCCCTGTGAAGACTTTCCTTCAGCACCTAAGCTGCACTGCTCCAGTTCACAGATGTACCGTTAAGGTTGACGTTGCCGAACGCAGTGCAGTTACGATCTGTCATGGATTGCTCGTTACGGAGTTTTTCTACTTCGCTTTCAATAGTGCAGTCTCCAATAGCTAACGCGTCAAGGCGAGCTATAAGTCTCTGACTTGTCCACCATGTCGGTGTCTAAGATTGTGCCAGAGAGAGGGAAAGATGCCCCTTCCCGCTCTTGTCCGGTAGAGATCCACATCCGATGTGTATCACTTGCATGGGTGTTAAGCATACTCAGGCTGCACTGGTGGATGCGGAAAGTTGTGCACACTGTCGGGTTATGCTGGCCAGGATCTTGGAAAGGAGGTTTCGGGTGGCCGAATTCTCTAAAGATGATCCGTGTCTCTCGGTGATCCCTCTGGCTAAAGAGGATCTCCCCATGGGATCTTGCTTCGTGGGGGGATATTATGGATTCAGAATCCCCCGAGCTTACGCCGCTTTTCAACCAACAGCTGCTAGAGGAAGCAGCTCTCCTCTTCAGACATGAGCCGGATAATGAGGAGGATGACGCTATCCTGTCTACGGCCCAAGCGTCCAGGCCCATGAGCGCACAGAGTGGTGATCTGCCGTCAAATGTGGTAGATTGTGACTTGGTGGAGGTTTGTAAGTAGAGTCAAGTCAAGTCAAGTCACCTTTATTTGTATAGCGCTTTATACAATACTGGTTGTGTCAAAGCAGCTTTACAGAGTCAAACAGGAAAATAGTTTGTCAATGATGCAAGAAGACAATAACAGAGTCATTTTTCAGGTAAAGTCAGTTCGTTGATGATACAGTGATGTCATCATCCAGTTCAGTTCTCTTCCAATAGTGTCTGT